GCCCGTGACCTCGAGGTGGACCCCCCTCGACCCCCCCGCATCTCTGGCCTCCTCAACCTGCGGCGCCTCCTCCTACGACGCGCCAACGGCGGGGGCCTCCTGGCCAGATGCGAGGCCGGCCGCCTCGCACTCCCCAGCCTTCTCGCCGCCGCCCACGGCCCCTGCGACCGCCGCAACCGCCCGGGGCGCGGGCGCGGGTGAACAGGCCGCGGCCGCGGCCTCCCCAACCCACTTGGAGGCCTCCTCTGCCTCGCACTCCTCCTCGAGTGCGGCCATCCTCTTGTCCGCTTCCGCGCGCGAACTGATCCTCGGATCCCCCTTGGGGCAACCGCGCTTGATGAGCTGCATCTGCATCGCGCGGCCCAACAGCCCACATTGCCAATCGCTCGGCGCGAGCGCGGGCAGGATGTGTTCTGGCGGCCTTTGCAGCTGGCACTGCCCCGGCAAACGATTCGGCCGCTGGAAGGGGACTTGTTGGGCCCGTGGTCGAGGCCCCCCCCGCACTCCTTCTTGATGAGGACCTGACCACCGCCCCTGCTGCCGTCTCCTGGGCCTGCTGCGCTGCCGCCCCCTCCTCCCGCTGCTCTCCCTGCACCTCCTGCGCCCGCCTCGCGGCGGCCCGCTGCCTGCTGCGATGACTGGGGCTGAACGACTGCTGAGCGCAACGCCGTTCACGACCGCTGGAGCTCGCTGCGGTGCCAGACCATGGTATGAGCAATGCAGTACTGATCGGGTTCGTCCAGGTAGTATGCCCCAGGCATTTTCAGCCGCGGCCCCGGGTCCTCGGCGCCGCTGGCGCACTCGAAGCGGATCCTGTCCCACGTCGGGCCCTTAAATCTCCACCATCTTGGCCCTCTTCATCCGCAACTCCTCGCACTACCTGCCTCTCAGCTCCGCTCAGATGCCGTTGAAAACGTGTTTTCCCCAACCATCCTGTGGCGTTGGGTCCTCGTTTTGAAGAGACAGCGCCCCGCGTCCCACCTCCTCCATCCTCCTCCCCCCCCTCCCCCCCCCCCCCATCCTTGCCTTTGCTCTCCGCATGTCCCAGCTCACCCCCTCCTCCATCATCATCATCATCATCATCATCATCAGCATCATCATCACCACCACCATCATCATCATCATCATCAGCAGCATCATCAGCATCATCATCATCAGCAGCACCATCGTCATCATCGGCATCGCCATGGCTGGTTCGTTTCGTGGCCCCATGGGGAGCTCCACCGAAGGCCCCAGCGGGGGGGGGCACATGCGCCCCCCACGCCCAGGAAAGCGCTTCATGGCCCCATAGGGAGCTCCACCGAAGGCCCCAGGGGGGGGGGGGGGCACATGCGTCCCCCATGCCCAGGACAGCGTTGCGTGGCCCCGTAGGGAGCTCCACCGAAGGCTCCAGCGGGGGGGGCCATGTGCCCCACCACGTCCAGGACAACGTTCGTGGCCCCACAGGGAGCTCCAACGAAGGCCCCAGGGGGGGAGGCCCATGCGTCCCCCACGCCCAGGACAGCGCTTCGTGGCCCCATAGTGAGCTCCACCGAAGGCCCCAATGGGGGGGGGCCACATGCGCCCCCCACGCCCAGGACAACGCGTCGTGGCCCCACAGGGAGCTCCACCGAAGGCCCCAGTGGGGGGGGGGGGCCGCATGCGTGTCCCACGTCCAGGACAACGCTCCGTGGCCCCATAGGGAGCTCCACCGAAGGCCCCGGTGGGGGGGGGTGCACATGCGCCCCCCGCGCCCAAGACAGCGCTTCGTGGCCCCAAAGGGAGCTCCACCGAAGGCTCCAGAGGGGGGTGCCGCATGCGCCCCCCATGCCCAGGACAGCGTTTCGTGGCCCCATAGGGGGCTTCACCGAAGGCCCCAGCGGGGGCCCCCCACGCCCAGGACACCGTTTCATGGCCCCATAAGGAGCTCCACCGAAGGCCCCAGCGGGGGGGGGGGCATGCGCCTCCCCCACCCAGGACAACGCTTCGTAGCGCCATAGAGAGCCCCACCGAAGTCCCAGTGGCACAGTTCGCATGCGTCTTCCCCACGCAGGACAGCGTTTCTTGGTCCATAGAGAATACCACCGAATGCGATTCTCACAACGACGGCACTCACAACTGCATATGGTTGGGCTCTTCGCCTGGCTATTTTGTGGAGGCACGCGTAATCTGCCTCGTCGCCCATCTTGCGCAGCTGCTCGGCTGCCCTGACCCGCTGGTCGCAACGCCCTTGCCCGCAGAAGCAGGCCCGCCCCCGCGCCTCCCGCCCGGCGTCTTGGAGCCAGTGCCGAGGGGTGGACGCGCGCCGAGGGCGCGCCTCGAGCTTGCAGCCCTTGGGCGGCGCGACGTCTTCGGGGGGCTTGCGCAGCTGAGGCAGCAGTCCGGGAGGTGGGCGCGGTCGCGCCCCCCGCGCTGGCAGGCGGCGCAGCCGCGGGCGATGGCGTTGGCGACGTTGGTCGGAAACTTGATACAGCGGAATAACGGCCCCGAGATCTGCCCCACCGACTGGAGGCCGCGAAAAGCACCCCACCGCAGATGCACCCGCGCCTTGCGAGGCGGCTACCTTTGGGAGGCCCCTGCTCTAAGTGCGCCACCGACCCGCCCGAGTTCACGATGAGGTCGCCGGGCAACATTTTCTCAGCGACGCCCCCACTCGCGCCGACCTCGCTCTCCACGCGGGCCTCGCCCGCCGCTTCGACCTCCGGGGGGCCATGCCAGGACACAGCTGAGGGCGGGTCGCCCTCCAGGGCCACCTTGATGTCGCGCCCTGTCTCGCCGCCGCCAGCAACCCCCCTCAGCGTCTCTAAGACGCAAGAGGCGCATGCCCAAAGCGTCCGGAGGAACCACGCCACGAAGCCAACGGCGGAGCCCAAGATGGTAGCCATTACGAGCGCCACGAGCCCCATAGCCGCCCACTGCAGCCTCGCCCAGCACCCACCGAACAGGTTGCGGCCCATGGCATCGACCATCCCCATCAGGAAGTAGAGGAGCTGGCGCAGCACCGTGCCCAACGAGCGCCCCACCTTCTCGCCGAGCCACTTCAAGGCCGCTTCGACCCAGACGCTGGCCCACGCCATGCTGAACTGGACTCTCACGGCGGTACCAGGTGGCATGCTGGGCCCTTCGCCCCGCTTGCCTTTCGCCGCGGCTATGCCAGGCGCGCACGGGGGCTGCCCCGGGGGTGGCGGAAGCGGGCTGGATCCCTGCGTCTCCTCTCCCCCCGTGGCGGCGCCATTCTCCTGCTCCGGGTTCGCCCCGGCAGCCTCGCTGGGGGGGGCTGCGCGGACGCTGCTGCTGGGCTGGAGCCCGCGTAGTAGTGGCCCTGGTAGTAATACTCGCCCGGGTCGGCCCTGGCCGTGGGCGGATCCGTGGCCGGGGGCCCCAGGAGAGCGAGGCTACCGCCGAGCGTGGTCCAGGACTTGCCGCAGACGCCTCGGCGGCTAGCGGCTAACGGCGTCGCACCGATCTCACTCGAACAGCTGGGCTGGCCATCCTGATTGGGCCGCCCATCCTGCTCCTCATCGTCGTCGCCCGAGCCGCCCTGGCCCGGGTCTGCCCGAGCGTGGCCATCCTCGTGCCCCACAACCGTGGCCGTCGCGGAGAAGCTGGCGCACAGCCCAAACACAAGCGATGCGTCGAGCCACGTCAACATGGCACCCACGGCCATGGCCTGGCCACCGTGCACTCGAGGCCATGCAGGGGCCTCACCATCGCACCTGCCGCGGGCCGCGCGACCCTTCCTGTCGCCGCCCGCACTGGAAGGGGGGTCCTGGCCCTGCCACTTCCCAGCACTCCTCGGAATGCCTGGCCGGGCCTTGAGCCATGGCCCCGCCCGCCCACCCCAAAAAGCTGGCCCCGCACGGTGCCTTGATCGCAGAGGGCCAGAGGAGGGAGAGGCTACGCGCGAGCAAAGCCCTCTGTTAGAACTAACGTCCAATTGCAGCCCAAGCTTCATCGCGCCTCCTGGAGGCCCGAAGACTCAGCGCCACCCTCGCGCCCGAGCGCCCATGAAGCGAGCCCTGGCCCTCGAAGAGTGGCCCAAACCTCCAAAACGTCACGATTTGCTCGGTACGGGGAGGCCCTATGGATGTCCCGCCACTCTGCGGGGCAACGAGGGGGAGGAACTGGCTCCGGGGGGAGGGGGGGAAACATCGGCCTAGAATGGGCGATATACCGCCGACAGACAGGCGATGGGCCTCCGATAGCGGGATCGTACGTTCCTGGGCGGGGTGGGCTATCGGGCCCCTATCGGCGATCAGTGGGCGATTGGGGGTCGCTGCAGTTCCCCCTTGGGCCTATCCCCGCCTGACGTTGCCCCTGACTGACCCTTCCCCGGGGCCCAGACGGAGAAGAACTTCGCCCGCAACTGAAGCGGGGACACGACGCCGGAGAGCCCAGACAGGAGGGCCTCCCCCTCCGATGAAGACCCTATCAGCACCGCTTCGTCCTCTGGGGATCGGCAGGGTGGGGTCCTAACGACACCCCAACCTGGAGGCTTCTCATAAGGCTTCGCAGAAGCCAGGGGCTTCCTAGGGAGGCCCCTCTACCATTCTGGGAGGTGCCCCACCCTCTGAGAAGGCCGCCCCCCTTCGCACTACCCCCAGTGCGCGCCGCCCGAATCCCCCCCCTCCCCTCCTCGATCATCGAATCTTGAAGTTCCTCCTCCTCCTCCTCCTCCTCCTCCTCCTCCTCCTCCTCCTCCTCCTCCTCCTTTGAGGGGCAACGTTAGGGGGGGAGCGGCTCAGGTGGTGGGGTTAAAATCGACCTGGAATGGGCGATACATCGCCGATTGAAAGGCGACAGGCCCCCGACAGCGAATCCGCACGTTTCTGGGAGGAGTAGGCGTTCAGGCCCCATATCGGCGGGCAATGGGGGGTCGATGCAATTTCCCCTGAGCCCATCACCCCCTAACGTTGCCCCTGGTCCTCGACCTCCCCCCTCGTCAATACTCGAACAAGGATCGCATAGGAGGGAGATCGTCCTCCTGCTTCTCCACCGAGGAAAGCCCCAGCCGCTCCGGCCTGGGGCGAGGCGGCGTCGAGATGAGCGCCAGATCCTCGGCGGCCTCTGGGGGGCGGCGCTCCAGGGCGGCGGGGGCGCCTCCTCCTCCTCCTCCTCCTCCTCCTCCTCCTCCTCCTCCTGCTCCTCCTGCTCCTCCTGCTCCTCCTGCTCCTCCCGGTCTCCCTTTCCTCTCCCTTACAGCTACCTCCTCCCTGCGGCACCACCAAACATGTCGTTTAGGACGGGCTGGGCGCTTTGCCTGTGGCGTCCTTCTCGCTCACGATCTTGAGGTTGTCCTTGGGGCCTCAATTCCCCAAGTTCCGCCGATGGAAGGCGGCACCTTTTTCAAGATGGGGCTCTCGCCTTGGCGCTACGTACACTCGTCTACAAACATCCTCGCCTCGGCGCCATGCACAGTCGTCGTGAGCTACACGGATGGACGGCAATACCCGTTCAATATGGGGCTCTCGCCTCGGCACCGCACACACTCGTCCTAGAGAAATCCAACAGTTACACTGATAGTGGACGGTTACTTTCCAAAATGGGGCTCTCGCCTTGGCGCCATGCTTACCAGTCTGTAGGATGGCATCAACTACATGGGACTCGCCTTCACACCGCGTGCACTCGTCCTGAAAACTAGGCTGGCGAAGGACCCAACCATATGCAGTTGTAAGTGCCGCAGTCGTGAGTACCGCCTTCGGTGCAGCACCCTACGGGGGCACGAAACGTGTGAGTGGAGCACCCTATGAGGCCACGAAACGTGTAAGGGGTGCGCCGAAATAGAAGTGGAACTGCATGCGGACCCTGCCATTGGGGCCTTCGGTGGAGCACCCTATGGAGCCACGAACGTGTGAGGGGTGCGCCGAAATGGAAGCGGAACTGCATGCGGACCCTGCCACTGGGGCCTTCGGTGGAGCTCCCTAGAATGCCACGAAACATGTGAGAGGGGTGCGCCGAAGTGGAACTCGTACTGCATACGGACCCTGTCACTGGGGCCTTCGGTGGACCAACCTTACGGGGCCACGACACGTGTAAGGGGTGTGCCGAAATGGGGGTGGAACTGCATGCGGACCCTGCCACTGGGGCCTTCGGTGGAGCTCTCTATGATGCCACGAACGTGTGAGGGGTGCGCCGAAGTGGAATTGGTACTGCATACGGACCCTGTCACTGGGGCCTTTGGGGGAGCAACCGTATGGGGCCACGGCACGTATGAGAGGTGTGCCGAAATGGACGTGGAACTGCATGCGGACCCTGGCACCTGGGGCCTTCGGTGGAGCCCCCTATGGTGCCACGAAACGTGTCAGGGGTGAGCCGAATCGGAAGTGGCACTGCATGCGGACCCTGCCACTGGGGCCATAGGTGGAACGTCCTCTGGGGCCATGAAATGTGTGAGGGGTGCGCCGAAAAGGAAGTGGAACTGCATACGAACCCTGTCGCTGAGGGCTTCGGTGGAGACCCCTATGGCGCCACGAAACGTGTGAGGGTGCGCCGAAGTGGACGTGGAACTGCACGCGGAACCTGCCACTGGGGCCTTCGGTGGAGCTCCCTATGGGGCCACGAAACGTGTGATGGGTGTGCCAGAGGGAGGGGGGGGCGTACGAACGCAGCCACTGAGGCCTTCGCTGGAGCTCCCAACGGGGCCACGAAACGTGTGAGAGGTGTGCCAAAGTGAGAGTGGGGCGGCGGCATACGAACGCAGCCACTGGGACCTTCGGTAAAGTTCCCTATGAAGCAACGAAACGTGCGCGGGGTGTGCCAAAGTGAGGGATGTGTGCCAGTGGGAGCGGGTGGCGGGAATGTACCAAAGTGAGGGGGGTGGCGGCATGCGAACGCAGCCACTGGGTCCTTAGGTGGAGCCCCCTTCATGGGGCCGCGAAACGTGTGAGGGGCGTGCCAAAGCGAGGGGAGTGGCGGCATACGATCGCAACCACTGGGGCCTTCGCTGGAGATCCCTATGGGGCCACGAAACGTGTAAGGGGTGTGCCAACGTAAGGGGGGCGGTGGCATGCGAACGCAGACACTGGGTCCGTCGGTGGAGGTCCCAATGGGCCACGAAACGTGTGAGGTGTTTGCCAACGTGAAGGGCGTGGCAGCATTCGAACGCAGCCACTGAGGCCTTAGGTGGAGCCCCCTTCATGGGGCCACGAAACGTGTGAGGTGTGTGAAGAAACTGAAGCCGATGCCGATGATAGCGATAGTGGCGGCGATGACGACGCTGATGATGACGATGCTGCTGCTGCTGCTGATGGTGATGATGGTGGTGGTGATGGTGATGATGATGATGATGATGTTGTTGATGGCGATGATGATGATGCAGACGATGATGGCGATCATGGTGATAAATACGATGATGATGATAATGATGGAGGCGATGAAGATGATAATGATGATGCTGATAAGGATGAGGATGAGGATGGGAATGAGAGTGAGGATGAAGATGAGGATGAGGACGATGATGATCATGATGACGGTGGTGGCGATGCTGATGAGGATGATGCTGATGATGCTGATGATGGTGATGGTGAGTATGCAGACGATGATGACGGGCATGGTATTGATTGTGATGATGGTGCAGGAGATGATGAGCATGAAAATGAGGGTGAGAATGCGAAGTTGATGGAGATGCAGATGATAATGAGGATGATCATGAGGTTGAGGATGAGGATGAGGATGAGGATGAGGATGAGGATGGAGATGATGATGATGATGACAGTGATGATGATGATCAGGATGATGATGATAATGATGATGATGATGATGATGACGATGCGTATGATGATGGTGGTGGTGATGATGATATGATGGGGATGATGATGCTGACATGGATGACGATGGCGATGATGCTGACATGATGATGATGCTGATGATGATACTAATGGTGGTGATGGTGATGGAGATGGTGTTGATGATGATGCTGCTGATGATGCTGATGATGATGATGACGGCCGTGATGATGGTGATCGTGGTGGTGATGGGGATGGTGATGGTGATGGTGATGGTGGTGGAGAGGGTGATGGCGATGGTGATGATGATGATGATCAGGAGGATCATGATGATGATGGGACTACGAGACAGCAAAACAACGACGCGAACGGCGTCGGAGGTTTGGGTCTCTGAAGATCCGTGCAGGCCTTCCAAATCTCTGGAGGTCTTCAGTCCTCGTCCGTCGTTGTGAGAGGCAGCGTTGAAAAGGGACCCGCTCATGGGGGGAAACATCGACCTGGAATCTGCGATGCTTCGCCAATCGATCTGCGACGCACTAACCTGGGCGGGATGGGCTAGCGGGCCCCTATCGGCGATCGATGGGCGATTGGAGGTCGAAGCATCCCCTCCTGAGCCCATCCCCCCTACGTTGCCACCAGTCTTTCGTGTTATAACTTGGCTCCCCGGCGGCCGTGGGACGATTCTGGCACCCCCAGAACGCCCTCGACGAGGCGCAGCTGATGGAAACCACCACAGGTCCCGAAAACGTTCTAGAGCTACCGAAACCTCAGAAAACCTCTGGGCCTGCCCCCCCCTTCCCTAGGCGTTGCCCCCAGAGTCCGCCCGCGCGGCCGCCCCGTCGTCTGTCATCGTTCGTCCGACGGGGGGGGGGGCCGCGCGACGCCTCCTGGCGGGGCGGCGGGGCTGCAGCTGCCTCGGCGGGTGGCTCCTCGGGACAGAGGCGGAGGAGAAAGGGGATGATGATGATGATGATGATGATGATGATGATGATGATGATGATGATGATGATGATGATGATGATGATGATGATGATGATGATGATGATGGCTATGGCGATGGCGGTGGTGTTAATGATGGTGTCGATGATGATGGTGGTGATGATTATGATGATGATGATGATGATGATGGTGATGATGATGATGGTGATGGTGATGGTGATAGTGATGATGATGATAATGGCGACGATGATAATGATGGTGACGATGATGATGGTGATGAGATGACGATGATGATTATGATGATGGTGGTGATGCTGATGATGATGATGGTGATGGTTATGGTGATAATGATGATGTTGATGAAGATGGCAATGATGATGGTGGTGGTGATGCTGATGACGATGATGATGATGGTGATGATGAGATGATGATGGTGATGATGATGGTGATAGTGATGGTGATGGTGATAATGACGATGATGGCAAAGATCACGATGGTGATGATGATGGTGGTGATGATGACGCTGATGGAAATGATGATGGCGACAATGATGATGATTATGATGGTGGTGATGATGATGGTGATAGTGATGGTGATGATGATCATGATGACAAAGATGACGATGATGTTGATGATGATGATGATGATGATGATGGTGGGGGTGATGATGATGATGATGATGATGACGACAATGATGATAATGATGGTGACGATGATGATGCTTATGATGATGGTGATGGTGATGGTGATGGAAATGATGATGATGATGGTGATGATTATGATGACCAAGATGACGATGACAATGGTAACGGTGATGATGATGATGAGGAGGAGGAGGAGGAGGAGCAAAGAGGAGGAGGAGGGAGGCGGAAAGAGGAGGAGGAGGGAGGAGGAAAGAGGAGGTAGGAGGAGGAGGAGGAGGAGGAGGAGGAGGAGGAAGAGGAGGATAGGAAAGGCCGTTTGCAGGAACTCTATCCCCGGGGGGGCGGTCTTAGCGCCGCGCCGCAACGAGATCAACAAGACCACACCTGCAGGCGGAACCTCAAGATCCACAGGCGGAACCTCAAGATCTACAGGCTGAACCTCAACATCTACAAGCAGAACCTCAAATCTACAGGCATAACCTTACGACCTAAAGGTTAGACCCCAAAATCCACAGGCAGAACCTACATATCTACTGGCTGCGTTACGAGGACACCCACTGAATAAGCATGAGCAAAACATGGCTGGCACGGAGCGAGAACAAGACTTGCATGACCAATGCGCGCCCTGCATCTAAAGCAGGAAAGCTGACAGTCAGGGGATGTACGATGATATCGCGGAACAACGATCCGGGCCTTGCGGGGGGGGCTTGAAAAATATTGGGCTGCCCTCAACCCGCACCAGAAATGCTCTTGAGCCTAATCGCTACGGACCCTCCTCCTCCTCCTCCTCCTCCGCCTCCTCCTCCTCCTCCTCCTCCTCCTCCTCCTCCTCCTTCCTCCTCGTCGGCTTGGGGAGCCTCCAGCGGCGCGGCCGCGTGCAGCCAGAGCTCGTGCAGGGCGCGCCGCAGTGGCCTGTCTGCACAGGGGGTCTCTTCCGACAGCGGAAGGGCGCCAGCGGGGCGGAGGGGGGTGTCGCCGCTGGCAGGCCTGGCCAGGACCGGATCGCGAAATCGGGCCGGCAACGGAAACGGATCAGATCGCAAGCGAGTCGTCCCGAATCCAATCGAAGTCGGGTCGTCGCGACCGCCTACGGCTGGCCCTGGCCGGTGCTGGCGAACCGAACCGAATCGAATCGGAATCGCGACCCCAGCCAGCGGCTCTGGCTGGTTGGCGACGCGCACAAGGAAGAGGCACGAGAAGGTAGGCCCCAGCATCGCCGCCATCATCATCACTCCTCCTTGATCCTTCCAGCGCATCGTCCTCTTCCTTATCCTGCCTGCTACTCCTCGTGCTCCCTCCTCTTCATCATCCTTATGTTCCTTCACTATTTTCCCCATCCATCCTGCTGTACGCCATCCTGCGCACTTTCTCCATTCTCACATTCCCCCTCCATGACTCACGGAATTGAGAACAGAGTCGTATCCGCGCACTCGCGGGCTGGACTCCTGGGCACAATCCCGCGGATACGCGGTCCCACGGATACGTCCCGCGCGGGGAATCTGCGGAAAAAAAACGTATCCGCCATTTCGCAACCCAGGGGCCCCGCCAGCGAGGCCGCGGATGCGGATACATTTTTCGCCCACGAATCCATCCCTCCATCCCCCTCTCCCTCACGATCCCTTCATCCACCGCCCCTCTCCACCACACCCACAAACACACACACACACAGCCCCGCCGCACCCCACAGTCCTCATCATCGTCGACACCGTCGCCACTATTGTAGCAGTCGTCAACATCATCATCATCATCATCATCATCATCATCATCATCATCATCATCATCATCATCAGCAGCAGCAGCAGCAGCAGCAGCAGCAGCAGCAGCATCAGCATCAGCATCAGCATCAGCATCAGCATCAGCATCAGCATCACCACCACAACCACCACCACCATCACCATCATCACCATCATCATCATCATCATCATCATCATCATCATCATCGCAAGCACCACCACCACCATCATCATCATCATCACCATCACCACCACCATCATCACCATCATCATCAGCAGCAGCATCAACATCATCCTCATCATCGTCATCAAAATCAGCATCGTCATCAGCTTAGTCGTCATCACCGTAATAATAAGAACAACAATAATAAGAATAGTAGTAATAATCAGAATCACAATCATTATATGTATCATTGTCATTATCATTATCATCGTCGTCATCATCAGCAGAAGCAGCATCGCCATCATCATCATAATCCTCTGTTTCTTCTCCTCCGCCTCGTCTCCTCCTCCTACTCCTCCTCTTCCTCTTCGTCATCGTTATCGTCATCGTTATCCTGATCATGATCATCATCACCACCATCATCATCATCACCAACATCATCATCATCATCACCACCACCACCACCACAATCATCATCATCATCATGATCATCATCATCATCATCATCATCATCATCATCATCATCATCATCATCATCGCCAGCATCAGCATCATCATCAGCGTAATCTTCATCACCATAATGATAAGAATAACCATGACCAAAAATTATAATGATAGAATAATACTAGTGGTCATCATCATCATCATCATCAGCAGCAGCATCATCATCATCAGCAGCAGCAACATCGCCATAATCATCATCATCACCTGTCTCTTCTCCGCCGCCTCGTCTTCTCCTCCTCATCATCAGCCCTCTTCATCGTCATCGTTATCGTCACGGCTATCATGATGATCATCATCACCACCACCACCACCATCATCATCAGCATCATCAGCATCATCATTATCATCGTCATCGTCATCGTCATCGTCATTACAACCATCACACTTGTCCCCAACACCATCATCACAACAACCATCATAATCGTCACCTGCACCATTGCCATCATCATAAGCATCATCGTCGCCAGAATCATCAACAGCATCAGCATCAGAATCATCATCATGTTTACCACTGTTGTCGCCGTCGTCGCTGCCATCGTGCTCACAAACACCATCTGCACCATCGTATATATATAGGGCCCAAATCCAAGGCTGTCTTACGGTGTGCGTTCGTCGTCGCATCGTCGCCGCCTCACATAGACTGCAACACCGATGTCTTCTTGCAAACGAAGAACTCCACCACACCCATGTGCAGCAGCCAGGCCTATCGACACCCCTCCTCATAGATGTTATCACGTTTAGGTGTGCCCGTTTACTGTTGCACCTCGGAATGTGTGTAGCAAGTACGCAAATGTAAACATGTGTAGATGCATGCATAAATGTGAACATAACGTATATGAAAGATAATGTGAATAATATATATATATATATATAATGTGTATAAACATGTGTAGAATGTAGATGCTCTAGCGATATATATATATATATGAGAGAGAGAGAGAGAGAGAGAGAGAGCGTGATCCACCGCCGCTTTACTGTGGAAAATTGCCAACCTTTTCCTCCGGACCCCGGGGGTCGCCCCCCCCCCCCTCTCCGCTGGAAAGCAAAACCCCCCCCCCCCTCCCCTAACCCCTCCCCCCCCCCCCTCCCCCTCGAAAACCGGGAGGGGTCCACTACCGGTTCGAACCCCCCCCCCCCCCTCCCCCTCCCCCTACCGATCCGGATCCGGAAAACCGGGGGGGGTCACTACCGGTTCGAACCCCCCCCCCCCCTCGAAAACCGGAGGGGGATCACTACCGGTTCGAACCCCTCCCCACCCCCCCACTCACCGCCAGCAAACGACTCCCGGTCCCTACCACCGTCCGCATCACATCCCCCACTGTTGTTCCCAGCACCACTGTCCTCACCACCACTGTCCCCACTGTGTCCCCACCAGTGCCCCCACCACTGTCGCACTGTCCCCACTGTCCCCACCACTGTTCCCACCACGGTTCCACTCTCCCCACTGTCTCCACGGCCCCAACCACTGCCCGACTATCCCCACTGTCCCCACTGTCCCACTGACTCCGCCGCTGTCCCACTGAGCTGTCCCACTGTTCCCACCACTGTCCCTACTGTCCCCACCAATGTCCCCACTGTACCTCTGTCCCATTGTCCCACCGCCGTCCTCGCCACCGCCTTCACCACTGTCCCCACCACCATTGTACCCTCCACTGTCCCATTGTTTCCACCTCATTCCCACTGTGCCCACACCACTGTCCCCACCACCACCGTCCCCACCACTGTCCACTGTCCCCCCTGTTCCCACCATTGTCCTCACCACTGTCCCCACCACTACCGGCCCTCTACTGTCCCACTGTCCCACTGTCCCCACCACTGTCCCGCTGTCCCCTCACCACTGTCCCACCAACACCGTCCCCACCTCTGTCCGCACCCCCACTGGGTTTTCGAGAAGGGGGGGGGGCAAAGGTTCGAACCGGTAGTGACCCCAATCCTTTTCATGATGAGCTGGGGGGGGGGAAGGGGTTCGAACCGGTAGTGACCCCCCCCCGGTTTTCCGGAGGGGGGGGGGGGGTTCGAACCGGTAGTGACCCCCCCTGGTTTTCCGCCAGCAGCGGTAGAACACGCTCTTTCATATATATAATATATATATATATATATATTAATAATATATATACATATACATACATATTATATACGCACTGTACATGTGCATGTACGTCCATGCAGACAGACAGACAGAGAGGCAGACAGACAGATGCATTGCAAGGCACCCCATCAGAAGCATCACATACAAGCGTGCCAATCAGGCCAATGATCGAACAACCCTTCATCCCCACCACATACTGTGCGGAGAAAAAGAGTTGACCCATCAACTGCTTTAGCGAAGGGTCCTTCTTCCAAAAAAACGGCGATTCGCGGAACATGCGCGCACCGCCGCGCGCACCTGTCCAAAACCATTCAAAACAGTAGCACGGTAACTAATTAACAAACTATCCAAAACCGGTTGTTCGTTCAACCAAAAATACCAAACGTCTGCGCGCGCGAACCCGCTGAAACCATCAGGAAACACGGGTTTTCATCCACTCTGTCAAACTGGACCACGCACGCTACGGGCGCGCGCCTCCGACCACGCACGTCGATATACGTTCAAAACCATTGAGTGGGCGACGCGCCCCGAACAAAGACAGCCAAACACACACGAACACCCGAATCACCGCGAAAGCTGGCAACAACGCCAGCGTTATGACTGTCACCCTCGTCACCACCAACATCACAATCGTCACCATCACCATCGTCGCCTCCGTCATCATCGCCATCGTTCAGTTGCTGCCACAGAAAGATTTGCGCGTGCGCAAACATCCGCACCATCCACACCAACGCTGTCGCCATCATCATCGCCAGCGTCGACATCGCCAAAGCCAGTACAACCGCGCCCGCTCCATTGCCACCGCCGCGGCCGACATTATCCCAAGCGCCATCATAACATCACCATCGCCGTCGTCATCGTCGCTCTCGCCGTCCAAAGCATTTGCCACCAAGTTGCGACTGGGCGGGTGGTACGTTCGCGCGATCGTTGACAGTCGTCACGCGCGGATGCGGTCAAAAGCCCCGCCGGCAGCATACCCCACCGAGACCACACATGGATTGCACCCTTTACTGCACGGCATAGACTGCACCACATGGATTACACCAGACGGATTGAACAACGCATGTTGCACCACGCGTTACGCCAATTAGCTTTCTCCCCACATGGCACGCACCGCATGGGCGGGACCGCGCGCACATGTTGCACGGACCTGAGTGGGAGCCCAGGACTGCCGAGCCCCCCCCCCCCCCCAGCGAGCAATCGGAAAGCCACTGCACGGCGCGCCTCAATGGATCCACTGGGCCCTGGGGCGAGCTCTTGCTGCCACGAGTCACGAACACCCCAAGACTGAGTGATCCAGCCCCGCTTGCGGAGAGCCTTCGCGAGGCCCTGCTTTCCAAGGGAAAGCAAAGGGAAGAAAACGCCCACCCAGTGGGGGAGCGCACATCTCGGAAATTTTCTCTCGAACAGTCCGACGCGGCCGACGCGCAGCCCCGCCTCGGGGTCATCGGCTGACTCGGCGAGGAGAAGCTGTCGACCCCGAGGCATGGTAGCCAGCTGCCCAATCCCCCGCTAGCTTTTCCACACCTCCGCACTCATGTCTGAGACCCGCCTGCCGCGCCGATCGATGCCGCCGAACGACCTCGCCTCTTCGACCAGCCTCGACACGGGCCGACGCGGCGACGGACGCACGGCGCAAGCTCTCAGTTCACGAGGCCGACGTCTGCCACCGCATTCTTGCAGAAGTCAGAAAAGCCGCCGCAGGCCACGGGTAAAGGCAAGCCGACGAGCGGCTCTCCAGCTGCGCGACCACCTCCTGAACCACGCCAAGGATTTGGCTCCAGGGGCAAGGGGCAGGATCGAGCCGTTGAGGCCCCGCGTCTAGGCGGGCTGCAGCCCCTCCTCGGGCCGCAGCACCAGCGACGCGAAGCGGTGGTGGCTGCCTGCCTCTGGCTGGCCAAGCACCACGCGGCTGGCCCGCAACGAGAGCTGCTCGCCGGGGCTCGAGGCGGGCGTCCGCCGCCAGCGCCAACGCGAGCGCTGCACGCTGCTGCCAGCGCAAGACCGGCGCCAGCACAATGGCCACGATGGCAGCCCAAGGCGCCGGCGCCCGCGCGATCGGCGGCACCGGGCGCCCCCGGCCCCGCAGCGCTCGCGCCGCCCTCTGCAGCTTCAGCAGCCGCCCTGCGCGATGGAGCCGAAGCCACTGGTGGCCCACTGCCGCCAGAAGCTTGGCCCCGCCGTTGCAGGGACCCCACGCAAGAACAGAAGGTCCATCTACTCCACCATGGCACCCCCCAGCAGCACGTCGGCGTCGAACGCGAGGCCGTTGGCCCTGCAGAAGCCGATGAACCGCGTCAGTCCCCTCGCGCAGCCCCCCCACGCCCTGCCCAACACACTCCTGCACCAGCACGGTCGGCCCTCCTGCGCCAGCCAGCGTCGCGCCTTCCGGTTCCCCTGCGCCAACCGCCGGCGGCGCCGGGAGGCCTCTCGGCCTCGCGCGGGACAGGAGGGCGCTTGAGCCCCGCGGCCCATCGGGCTGGGTGCGTCGCGACAGCTGCCTCTCGAAGTCTGGCTCGCCGCCGCCCGTGCTCTCGGCGCGCTCGCACCGCCTCGCGCGGTGGCACTACTGCGCGACTCAGACACATCTCTCCCCGCCGCAGCTGCAGTCGCCTTCGCGGCAGGCGCATCGAACCAGCCGATCGGGCTCGCCACTGGAGCTGCATTTGCCGGCGGCCCATCGAACACTGGCACGGGGGGATGCGGCGAGGGAAAGCACTACCCATTTTCCGAGCAGCAACTGCACGCGAACGGACAACGCTCGCCCCAACTCCAGACTCGATACACTCACCTCTGTCCAAGCGAAGGGCCTCATCCCAATAGACCTCGCACCCTGCCAGGGGCGCCTCTTCAGGTCAGAGCAAAAGAGACAAGGGGGCCGTCGATCACCTCCAAGCGGTCGGGGTCTGGCAGAGCGCCCAGCAGGTCAACGGAGCCCGCGGCGTCCTGCCACAATCCGAGGCCACGAACATACGGCGCAACCACGGAGACGTCCTCGGACGCGAGATCGAAGGCCTCGGTGCTGGGCATCTCCTTGAAGGCTGCCTCGGGAGTGGGCAACTGCCCTGGTGGCTCGCTATCAGCAACTGCCCGCCAGATACTATCCACCGCGGAAAACTGAGTCTGAGACGGTCGCACGCCAGGCAAAAACGAGCCCTCCCCGCACAGATTGTCCAAGGCGGCCACGCAGTCGTTCGAGCGTCGGCCGAGCGCTACCTTCCTGCCCAGTCGTTGAGCAGCACGGCGAGGATCTCAACTTTCTCCCGGAGAGCGGAGAGACGTCGAGCACATGAGGCAACAGGAACAAGTCTCGAGGCACCCCTCTCCTCCAAAGTCCGGTCTAGATCCAGGACCAGGGACGGCCACCCCCAAGACGTCGCGATCGCCATGGTATCATGGAAACGCGCGCCACTGCACGCTCCTGAGCAGGCCCCCGCTCGCCCTTCAGGACGGCCGAGTCGCGCGACTCCAGCTCCACCACCGACTTCATCGGCCCCCCCCTCAGGATGGCGCCTCCTGTGCGCCTGGTGCGTCCCAAACAGTAGTCTGGTGCGTCGTAATCCGCGCAAGCTCCTCGATTATTGTTGACCCGCTGCTCGATGTACTGGGTGTATCGGCACAGGCACTCCAAGCTCGCCATGTTCGAGATGTCAAGCTGGTCGCACGCGGTGGCGAGCTCCAGGATCTCGGATAGCAGCTTGTAAATCATCGCGCTGCGCTCATCCACCTGCAGCTTGTTCTCGTGCCTCCAAGTCGCGTGGTGCTGTGGAGGGCCGCCGCTCTGTTTCGCGATCGCCTTGACCACGTAGAACGCCGTGCGCGGGCCAAGTTGGATCCAGTCCCTGAAACCGACTGTTCCAACGAGCTCGCCACGCTCCTCATGTTCCCGAAGCGCTTGCCCGCTTCATCCCGCGTGCGAGCATCCGCAGATCCTGACGCACCAGTGGCCCCCCTTTGGAGGTGTGCCCGTGCCTTGAGACGGGCTCCCGTTGACGATACGAGAGGCTGAGAATTGGACAGCCCCTCCTCCACCGGCCCACCTTCCTCCATTCAATACATGATGGCCAGCGCGCCACAGCGGCCGAGGTCGCACAGGCCGGGAGCTTGTTCGAGGGGGTGCTCATTTTGTTCGGCAGCTTGAACATCTTGCCTACTGTCACCGCCGAGGATGCCACAACACACACACACACACACACACATCCACGTGGACTGCCCCAAGACTTCCTCAAAGTCCGAAGCTCCCGTTGGGGGCCCAGGCACGACGACACCTGCCGCACATGCCCCCCCTAGGCTGCGGCTCCAGTTCCTCGGATGGCAGCCCCAGCATGGCCGTCTCCTCCATCCCCTTGGCGCGGCCCTCCTTGAGCAGCCCCGCCAAATCGTCGCCGCAGGGCCGCTCGGTGAACCTGTACACCCGCTGGCCGCGTGCCGCGCCCAGCCCGGCCAGCAACCCCCCCAGGGCCCGGGGCCGCCCTGCCGTCCAAGTACTCATGACTGATGGTCTCCACGGTGACCTCCCCATCTGGCGTGAGCAAGACATACCAGCAGTCGCCCACGACCGCAAGGATAAGGCGCTAACGCCAGGGTTTCCCGTCCACGCCGTAGTTTAGGTACGCTCGCCCCCAGGTTTCATAAGGCCCAGGAGCACCCGTCTTAGGGGACCCGCCACCGACATCTCCCAGCTGAAGTGCAGGAGATCGCGCGAACACCGGCGATGCCACCAGTGACTGGATGTGAGAGAAGTTGAAGCCCGCCAACACGAGCTTGGCCGCCACGTAGAATGAGCAGCACAGCGCCTGTGTCGCAAGTACGAGCAGCACCCCCAGGGCGAATGAGAGTACGACGCCCGCCACCGACAGGCCCAGAGGCACAGGGCTGGTCCAAAAGGCCTGCGAGCTCAGGCAAGCGTTGGCAATGGTGGAGATGGCCAGCGCGCCAGGGCTGACCGCGAGCGCCACGGAATCGCCAGGCGCCGAGGAATGGAGGCGTGTGACCACGAAAGAGTGGGCCAGCCGAAATCTCCCATCCGCCGCCTCGAAACCTCTTGAGCGAGAGCGACTGTGGCCAGCATGGAACATTCAGCATTGCACGCTACTGTGTTACTGCTACAGGAGGAGGAGGAAGAAGAGGCCTGCAGTGCATTGCTGATGCCCATTAGAGCAATTATAACCCTGACGAGTCGGGCCAGGCACATGGGCTCTCCGATCCTTGGAGGCGGTGCTTGTGAAGGTTGGTAGGGCAAACCTTCTGGTCCCAAAGCCAGTTGCAAGGACCGTTGTTGGCACCTGATATTGCTGGATGGTACGTGCACTCCGCATGACTTGTGGCAGCCCCCTCTGTTGTTTATAACAACTATGCAGATCCACCTGCAGTACTGCCAGGCTGTAACCAAAACGTCAGCGCCTCAGCGGGCGGGAACAGAGGATCGCTAGCATTGCCATTGCCGCTGGGCTGTGTCGGCGCATGGGGGGGGGGGGGGGGAAACACGGAGAAAGATGAGGCGGAGGCGGAGGCGGAGGACGAGAAGGGGAAGGAGGAGGCGGAGGGAGCGAGGCGGAGGGGAGGCGGCGGAGGAGGCGGGGGAGAAGGCGAAGGGCCGAGGCCAGCGGCGGGGCGGCTTGCCCGAGACGGCCGGGGCCTGGCGACCGCCCTCCGGAGCGAGGCGGCCAGCAGTCCGCACTCGCGCAGCACGGAGGCGAACACGACCTGCCCCCGGGCGCCGCACCCGGATGCTTTCGTCGGCTCGCGGAGGAGGAGGAGGAGGAGGAGGAGGAGGAGGAGGAGGATGCTTCAGGCTCCAGGCTGCGTGACTAGGTCGACTCCAGCATGCACCAAAGTCAGGCCAGCAACGCGCGACGGGACGACAGCCAGCCGACTTACAGACCACGCACGACAGCGGGGGGCAAGCACCAGGAGACGCAGCAAGCGGAAGAGGCTCGAAGAGCCGAGAGAGGGGGAGTGAAAGCACATAGGGGAAGCCGCACTGCAGTCGGACGAGGAGGGGAAAGACAGGAATCCAGGATCGAGGAGGAGGACGACCACGAGGAGGGAGGTTTTCGGACGGCTTCGTCGGCTCCTGGAGGTGGTCCAGCCTCCGGTATGCCTGCCTTCCGCCTCGCCGAGGGCGTTCCCTAGGTGCCCGAATCGTCCCGAAGGGCCGCCGGAGACCCAGGGCATGCCCCGAAAACCGGACCTCCCTGGCGCCGCCGAAGGAGGACGAAAGATATGACAGCGTTGGTGGTGACGACAGTGATGATGAGAAGAAGGAGGATGACGAGGGGGATGCGGACCCGGAAGACAAGAGGAACCACCACCTCCTCCTCCTCCTCCTCCCCCTCCTCCTCCTCCTCCTCCTCCTCCTTTTGTGATTAGTAATGTTATTCTTCTTATTCGTATTATTAGTATCATTAATAGTATTATGTTGTCTTACTGTCCTTATTATCACTAGTGTGATTGTTGTTATGATGAGGTTATGCTTGTTCTTCTTAATGGCAGTATTCGTCTCATTATGATAGTCGTTCTTCTTATTATTATTAATGATAACATTAATATTGTTCTTAGTAGTCATATCAATACTTTGCTGAGTATTATTAGTACTCGTAGACTGTTTCTGCTGCCTATCATTATTATTCAGAGTATGCTTATCTTTCTGCGTAGCATTCATTAGTATTCCTAAGAGGTTGTGTATTATTCATAATATGATGGTTAGTATTAATAAAACTTTTATTGATATCATTATCATGCGCATTTTATTAGTTCTACCATTCGTAGTATTAGTATTCGTCATGATATTATGATGTTGATCTTTAATTTGTTTCTTATTACTACTAGTATTAGTCGTCTGCTTCCGCTTCGTCATAGTACTATTCGTCTTCGTATTCGTCGTCATGGTCTTAGTATTCCTCGTCTTCCTCTTCCTCTTCCTCCTCCTCCTCCTCCTCCGCCTCCTCCTCCTCCTCATCATCATCAGAATCAGCATCATCATCATCAGCATCAGCATCAGCATCATCAGCATCAGCATCATCATCATCATCAGCATCATCATCATCATCATCATCAACATCATCATCAACATCATCTTTTTCCTCCCCCTCATCCTCGTCCTCCTCCGATCCGTTCTCCTGACTGCATGGGGGCAGGACGACCAACAGCACGATGTGTCACACCCACTCTTTGCACCAACCCACCTCCCTCTCTCTTTGTTCTCCACCTCCTCACTCCAACTCCCCCACGACCCAATCCCACTCCCACTCACACTTCCTCGTGCACCGATCCCGCTCCCCCCCTCCCCTCCCCTTTCACCCGCTCACCCTACCTCTTCCTCCTCGTCCTCCTCTTCCTCCTCATCCCCGTTCTCCTCCT